CAAAAGAATTTTTGCTTCAGGAAGAAACCTTATTCGCTCAAGGTCTTGAAAATTTAGGCCGCACCAATGTTATCACCCACAGTATAAATACCGGTGATGCCATCCCAATCAAACAAACCTATTATAGGGCCACCTATGAAGAAAATGAAATTTATAAGAAAAGAAATACAACACTAACAAAGTTTTTACTGAGCAGCAGAAATTGAGGATAACTAGACAACAAAAATGAAAAACCAAAAATACCTTTTAATTTATTTCCCTGCGCGGTACTGTTATAAGGAACCTTAACATCGAATATTTCAACCGGGTCAATGTCGATAACCGCATAATTAAGGATTCCTTTTGTGGGTGGTTCCAATAGGCTATTAAAAGAATCTATATGTGGTTTAACAAGCTTTTGTAGTTCTGGTATTCCAAATTTTTTGTCGCTTGGATTTAAAAATAACTTTTCTCGTTCACACGTATTAAAAGTCGATGGCATGTTTTTTCAGATTATTTTCAAAAATTTTTTGATATATACCATATATATATTAGTGATTGCAGATCTCCCTAATCAGTAGTGATCTGCATATCTGAAATGTGTGTCAGTCTTGTGGCGCAACTGTGGCGCATATTGCTGTATTGCTTAAATACGAATTAGATTAATCAGATTTCACGATCAATGTAATGTAACACGAGCAGGAAAATTCAAAACAAGCGTTCGTTTTGACAAAAATCCTGAAATCAAGAAATCACACAAAAAGTTTTCGTTGGGCAACTAACTCTAACTTACTCTAACATTAACGAACTTTAAAGGATTTTCGCTGCGCTACAAACCTGACACATATTCAGATATGCCAACTAATACAGTACTTAAGTCGACTAAGTCGAATCGTATATTAAATACATATATCTCGAACTCGGTATCCCAAATTAGGGGAACCGTTAAAGCCAGGTTCGATCACGTGATAACCGGCCTGATCATCCGGAGCGGAAAGCCTACGGACACGTACTGGTCACGTGATTTTGCACGTACTGGCGATCACGTGATATACAACGTAAGTCACTATCGAAGT